TTGCACTCATGCTCTGGTTCAGCCTCTCATTGCTCAAACTTAACACTAATACTACACATTCTTACTGCAGCCAGAATAATCTTTGCACAGTGTTGGAAACAAGCAGATATTCCAACAGAGGAAATGGTCATTCAGAAAATAACAGCCTGTGCAGAGATGGATAAATTAACCTCAGCACTTAAGGAAAAAGAAACACCAGAATATTATAAAAGCTGGGAATGCTGGTATGACTGGATAGAACAAAAATAGAAAATATATTAGTAAACACCGTAAAATGTAAAAGAGGTAGTAATTATATACTCGCAATAAGATGTATTTGTAAATATGTCACCAATATTGATAACAAACAAGGAACCATAGACTGTTGAGAATAGAATTGCTAGGGTTTTTTTTAATCATTTTTTTTCTTTTTCTTTCTGTGTGTTGTGTATGTGTTTGTTTGACATTTTAGTTGTATAATTAATAAAGTTTGTTTAAAAAGAAAAGAATGCTTTGTAAAGATATTTGTTAATATTTTAATAAATATCAGGCAAAGCTTGAATTCGTTCATCAACTCTTCTTCCATAACCTCATCTATAATATATTTTAAGGGTCTGATCCCATGAAAATGAAATAAAAAAGACTTTCTAGCTCCTGTACTGAAGAAAGCCAGGAAATCTTTATAATCTTTTTTTGAGAGCTTCCATATCTCAAAATCTGGTTCTCATGCTACATATTTGCAACCGTAGAGCTTTCAACCTGTTTGAAACCTCTAACAGGCATATTTTCAAAGAACATTAAGTTCTTTGAAAATATTATTGTTATTTAAAGTCCTGACATCATAGTTCAATTGGAGCATTTCCTTCCACAGATATGCATTTTGAACAAAGGGGTGAGTAAACTACAGCAGCCAAAATCTAAAATCAAATCTTGGCTACCCACTTTATTTGCATTGACTTCCAACCACAGGAATTCACAAAGCTTACCGTGTAATTACGCGTGATAATAGTGCTAGTACCATCTTCCAAATAATGCATTTCTGTGATGTTGCCAGCAAAGAGACCACTGGGGAAAAAATTAAAAGGAAATCTTAGACAATATTTCTGCACCAAATAATTGTGATTTAATTTACTCTTTTCAAAAATAAATGGAAATAAGAGGAAGCTCAATTTAGGAACAAAAATAGATATAACATTTGGATAATGTCTGTAAACAAAGAAAAGGACAATTCCACAGTTAGTCTTTCTTCCTGAATATTAACAAGTGTTCCAGCAAAAATAAATCAGCACTTTTGATACAATAATTTGTATTGTATCCAAATTCCAAATACATTTTAAAGCATTATCTTTCATTCATGTCTTTCCATAATCAGATACTTCAAATCAATTGCTTTGAGCTATTATGGAAAAAAGTTGATTATAAGGCATGTAAAATTTGTTCAAATATAAATTATCTGGAATTGTCTCAAAGGGCTTACAAGCGACATTTTACACTCTGTTCCCCCCCTCCCCGCTTCTGTTCAATCATTTCCTTTTCCTAATTGGGCAACTCCTTACAATTTTAATTTTACAAAGTGGTTTGCCGTTGCTTTCTTCTTAGGTGTGAGAGAAAGTGAGTGGCCTAAGGTTACCTTGCTGGCTTTGTGTCTAAGGCAGGACTACAACTCACACTTTCCTGGTTTCTAGCCTAATAACTGAACCATTACACCAAACTGGCTCTCTCAGCAATACATCATATTTTAAAATATTCTACCAGAAGATTATGTATGGATTTTATAGACATATGATATGCAGGGGTGGGATGCTACTGGTTCTGCCCGTCTCTATAGAACCAGTAGCTTCTGAAAAGCAGCAGACACCAACCGGTTCTGTGTTTGCTGCTGTTTGGCCCACCCGCCTGCCCGGGCTCTTACCTGCCTTTATTTCCTGCTTTTTCAACCTCAGCTGCTTTGCGCGGCACAGCTTGAAAAAGCAGGAAAAAAGTGGCTTTTCAAACGCTGTGCACCCACGTGCAGCACTTATCAGCTCTCCTGGTTTCACAGCTTAAGGTTTTTTACATGCACGTGCAGTAAAATGCAGTCACCAAACCAGTAGTAACACCGGTTGAATCCTACCCCTGGACATATGTAGTTCTTTCTTAAAGAATCACTGGAGTAAGATTTGATTATAATATTGGAGTATTGGTTACAGGAAGGGAGAAACTGAAGACCTAGTGAATTTATAACATCTGCACCATTCAAGAATCGTGCTTTGATAGTGAGAATGCTATTGTTCCATCTATCTCTTTCTAACATGTTTAGTAGTTTTTATGACACTAAATGTGAAATCTAGAATGCCCTGGGGAATTTCTGTGTTAAATGATTGGAGTTCCTTCCCCAGACCTGATCTTACATGGAACGTCGAGATGAAAATTTCTGCCAGCATGTCACCTCCCAAGTACCCTTTATAGCCTGTGATTTATTATATAGTTCTGGAGAAAGAAAAGAACGGGGAATGACTCAAGTCCTAGATGCTTATGTCCAATGTTCAGATATATTTTTTAAAAGTAATCTGGCTTTTTATGCATTAAAAATGTCTTGATCTTTGGTCTTAGTTTTTGAGATTCGGATCTAAATGTATTGCAAACAGAATGTTCTGGAAGAGATTAGATTAGAAAGATTCGCTATGGCTGTGTAATAGCTTACTATGTTTCTTTGTATAAAGAATCCATTTATCTAACTGGATCACTCAGCTCATGCTAATGTTTCCCTGAAGAGGCACCAAGAAAAAGTTTTATTACTTAGACCTTGGGAAACACATCCCAATAGCAAGCACCTGGACCATTTGGCTTATGAACAGTCACCGGTATGAACAAACCAGGAAAATGACTCTCTCAGAGCTGTTGGTGCAATCCTGAAAATGTCATGGATTTTTCATTCTTGGCATGTATTTCATGCTAAAGTAATCTCTATTTATTTCAAACCTCTCCCCCCTGCTTTTTTTTTTAAAATAGCAGGATCTCTGGAACTGGTGAAATCATTTCTATCATTGTTTTCTTTGTTTCAGATTTTTGGCAACCTTTAACCAAGTTATTTGAAAGTCAGAGGCTGTACTGTTTCTACCTTGATTATGCCAGAAAACGACCTGCAGTTTGAGTTTTAAAAATTTATTTTGCATGAACTAATTACTTCCACTTTAGAACTGCCTATTAATTCTCACAAGTAAAATAATTAGAATATCTCTCATTTTCTAATTCCCAAAAGAACTTATGTGAACACTTTGATTCAGCCAAAATTGTTGTTCTGGGGAAAATAAGGGGCTGGAATATTAGGTATGTCTGTCACCAAACACATATAGGCAGGATAAAAATTAATAATAATAACAATTCTTGTATGGATGGCTAGCAGCTATATTCAAGACATGTTTAGAGAACAATTGCCCGAAAGTATGATTCTGGATTCAAATCACTCTTAAGCAAAACATGGGACATAATTTTTTTTTAAATATACTGATTAACTTGCCATTGCAAAAATAAGAACGAGACTCAACTAAGATTCTTTCATTGCATCCTCATGAAGCCAATCAAAAGAGTGGTTTGACAGTGAAAAAGCTATCTAATCTAGGCTATGTGAGAAATATTTTGAAACACTCGAAAGTTTGATGTGACAAGTTGGTTAAGTATTTATGCAGTGAAATGAATTATATATCCTTCAATCTAGACATTAATATTGTACAATTTCAAGGGAGTGTCCAGTGATCCGGCTTTATGCAATTTATTTTGGTTATTTCATCTATAACAGAGATACAGTACGTACAGAACTATGCTAAATCATTTGTATGCTCCCTTTCCTGGGTATTGATTGGACAGCTCCAAGACTGTATTAGTGCCATATTAAAAGAGGAAGGGGCTACATTTATTTGAAGCAATAACAGTGACAGCATGCCATCTCACTGAAATAAAAACTGCATATAAACTATTGCCCAATTCTCAAACAGTTGCCAAACAGTTGTACAGTTGCTCTCAGTTAAAACATTTGTGCCTGTTTAAATCAGGCCTAAAGGATTGAATGTGAAATCTTTTTTTGACCATCCTATTGGACCTAGATTTGAAAAAGAAAGCAAAATGAAAATCCTAATTATTCATCTGTATCTTTTAGCAGCTTTTGATATCAGCGGTCATGGAATCTTAACCAATCTGCTTTCAGGGTTGGGGCAAAACAGCTTCATCCTGGAGATTCAATTTGTCTAAACCAGGGGTGTCAAACTCACATTGTCATGTGACATATCAAGACTTTTTCCCCCTCCGCTAAACCAGTTATTGGTGGGGCCAGCGCGTGATGCATCCAGCCCGTGGCTGTGAGTTTGATATCCCCGGTTTAAACATTTCTTAGAAGTTCAATTGCAAAAGGTAGTATAGAGAACTTCTTTGGATTTTTTGATTCTTAAGAACTTTGATGTTGTATCCTCCCTCCGTTTTCTATAATATCTATATAAATCTGCCAGACAAAGCCATGTAAACATTTGGAATTAAGTTTGAAGTATACATTGAGGATTTCTAATTCTCTTTTAAATCCTGTTATCAGAATCAAGTGAAGCTATAGAAATGCTCTAGATTCAGTAATGAAATTGAACTGGAAGTGAAATAACTGAAAATGAAATAATTAAAGCTGGAGTCTATTACAACAAATGGTTTCAATATTCCCCCCACCCACCCCCATGCAGAGTACCCAACCTTTGTAGAAAAGAAGTATAATTTGGAGCAACTTCTGGATCTAACATTACCACTGGAGAACCTTAGTAGCCTAGAGTATGCAATATTTTTTTCAAAATATTCAGCCTTTCTAGACTGTCAGAACCTGGCTATGCTTATCTATGTTCTGGAAATTTTACATGGGAGTCCTGGGATTTAACATGAAGTCATAAGTCCAGGAGGACCCACCAGTTTGCCCAGGGTCAGGTTGGCTGTCATGGGAAGCATGGACCATTCCTGTCCTCCAGCTCTGCCAAACATGTGGGAGGAGCTTCCTGTGATGGCCAACCTGACCTGGGCAAACTGGTTGTTAAATTATCCCCCCTGCTATCAAAGTGGATCCTGGGCACTGCGCTGCAATGGAAAAACAGGCAATGGGGTGGCTGGCATGAGGGGAGGAGGAGGAGCAGGGAGAAGAAAGAGGGAAAACGGCTGTTATGTCCCTGGAACTTAAAGAAGTTCCCACCCAGGTCCATTCGCGCTGCGGGGGCGGTTGCCCTCTCTCATTGGCTGGTTCTCCCCAGCAGCCAGCTATAAAAGCAGGCTGCGGGGTCCAACCAGTCGCTGTTCGCTGCGAGCCAGTTCCAGGCTTGGCAAGCACGTTCAGTCCTTTATTTCCTAAATAAAGTATTGTTGCATCCATGCTCTGGTTCAGCCTCTCATTGCTCAACTACAACACTGGCGACGAGGGTGGGATGGCTACCAGAGGCAAAATGCAACCGCTGAATCACTAGCCGCTGATCCACAGCCAGAGAGAACGATCAGCAGGCAGCGAGAACGAACGCTGATCCGCAGCCAGAGAGAGCGGTCAGCGAACAAGTGAGAGTGAGAAAGCGTCTGTAGCCGCTTGTTAGCCAGCTACAGGGAAAGTGTAGCGCTGCGAGCCGCAGCCGCTCTAAACAAAAGGGCGCGAAATTCAAACAGCTGTCGTTTGAATTTCTATACAAAACACAGCACGGTGCTGTGTTCTTTTGAAATCACTGACGCCAACACAGGCGCCAAATTCAAAGCGCTGCCAAACAGCCGTTGCTGCTTACAGCGTGCAAACCCAGAGAGAGAGCGGGAGGCGCGGAGCCCCCCCCCCAGAGCTGTAATCACGTGCCTGCCTAGGCACAAGAGTTTTTTTCTTGCCTCCACTGTGGTCCCAGAGAGATTCCAAGCAGCTAGCCACTAGATTCTCAACATGAATTCCAACCCAGTCTTCCCATCGTTCAAGCCGGATGAGGAGAAATGGGAGTCATACAAGAATCGCTTTAACCATTACATCGACGCCATTGGGCTGGCTGATGCAGGGGAGCACCGAAAAAAATCATATTTCCTGATCTACTGCGGAGCCA